CTATGTACTTCTCCTCTTCTTTCAATGTTACTGGAAGCCACTGAGTGCCAGTCCTGGTGCTCCGTGGAAACCACATACCGCGTCCAAATTACTCAAAATCAAAGTCTCATTTTAAGTCTCCCATTTTCAAGAGGGTACTTTAGGCTATTTACTCATAAAACAACCAATCTATTGCTGCTTTATCGTTTGGAGTTAGAGAGATCTCTAGAGATCTCCGTAAAAACCGGTCATTGAGAAACACTTTCAACTTTGTTTTAGTTACAAAAACCTAGTTTAAAGTCGTGACTATAGAATCCCAAAAATCAGAAGTTTCTATTGCCTTTCAAAATATTTTTTTCAAGTATTTAACTGATCATAGTAGAAATTTTCTTTTAAAGGAACTGTGAAATGTTTTATGCAATGCGATGAATAATAGGAATATTTGATTCTCATATTTCGTCTTTCCAATCATTTCAGTTGCTGAAGTTTAGTGAAGAAGAACAATGAAATGATAACCTGATGATTGATCACATGAACCAACAGGTTCTTAACAATAAAAAGAACAGTATTATACTATATAACTTTAGATAAGTTCAGCAGAAGTGTTTTTATCTAAAACAACGACTGTTGACGTATCAGACAAATCGACGAATGGTTATTTACTCAGTTATCTCCCTTATGCTGCTGATTTTATTTTATTTACCAAGTGTGAAACCGGTACTTTCAATAACTGAAATAACATCATTATCACTGCTCTTCTTAATAAAACCGATTAGATCCATTGATGCTGACTCATTTAAACTTGTATTGGCACTACTATGTCGAAGACAATTGGCAATATTTATTGAAGAGGATATATCTTCCATTTTTAAACTATTTGATTTTGTTGTTTGAAACAATTCGGGACATTCTGATGACCATGCAAGATTTTCATCCTTATTATCCGTATCTTGCAAACAAATTTTCGGTGCCTTTTGTGGCCAGTTTTCTAAAACGAAAATTATGCTCTAGTGTCAAGAGAAAACATTGTCTCTAATTGAATGAATTAACAGTTTTTCGACATACGATTCAAAGTGTTGAGCATATGAGGAAATATCGAAAACCTTTTTTGGAATTAAAAATAATGTCTTCTATTTTCGTGAACGATCATTTAATTTAACAATAAGAAGCAGAAACTGAAGCAGAAATCATTGATATGATTATTACTCGTGGTACTCATTGAAACTACACTAATTTACAAAATTCCGTATCGTTTCTTTTTTTGAACATTTTGAATTTTGCAATTTTCTGATTTTCTTAATCAATTAATCACATCTTGTATTGTACTTTTATTGACGCCAACGAATTCTACTACTGGGTCTCGTTTTATAAAGATATGTTAAAAAAATATGTGTAAAGCGACACTGAATCATTGAAAAACTAGAAAATTGGAAAATTTGGTTCAATTCAATTCAAAGAAAGAAACGATACGGAATTTTGTAAATTGGATTCGATTCGTAAAAGCTGAATTTCTGTATTTCAGTCAAAAGTGAATCTCGTAACATTATTTGCAAAGTTAGTCTGCATCAATAAAAACTTCGAGTTTATGACTATCATATGAAATGAAATTAGTTTTGACAAACAAAGGAGTTATGCGAATTTACTTTCACGCCAGACTTTCGAGACATCTTGCACTGAATCATGATATTCAGTCGTAATATCTCTTAACTGATGTATGGCTTCTCAAAACGTTAAAACTTGTTGAAAATGCTACTTCGTATATACCAGTCGATGCGCCGCAAATGGTTCTCAAAAACAGTATATGTGTTTTATCAAATAAAGGATAGTCTGCTTATCCGATAAAGTTTTTTACGATGAAAATATAGTTGCCATATTCAGTTGATGACAAGATCTTTTGTTTTCAGACATGCTTACTTTTTTAATGAAAAAAGATTCGTTTTTGACAGGTTCGACAATCATTGATATTTTTTCTTAGTCATATTTCGAACAGAACACATTGTTTTTTATGTCATAATGATATGAGCGTGTCCGATATATGCTTGCGTTGTTATAAATAAATAAATATATTCATGTTTATTAGTACACAAATGGCATTCATTAACAATGTATTGTCATCCGTTTTGACTGTGGGCGTTCGAAAACAACCTTGATTAGCACGAAGATGTATTTCAGCATAAATAGCCATTTTAGCATGATCGTATAAAGGATAACGAATGGTACGAGTTAATGTATTACCAAAATTATTCTTCAAATCTAATGATGTTCCCTCAAGAAGCAATTCGTACGCTATGTAAAATAAGAGGAAACAAATGAATGATTAAATTTTGTTAACAGTTGTAAGAATTAACTATTTTACCTAACGATAGTGCAGCGTACAAAGGAGTGAAGTTTCATGATAGAAGTCGCGATGATTCATATCCACACGTTTATGAGTTAATAAACGACACACGTGAAGTGCAATATCAGTTGAATATGCAGGCTTTTTTATTGTTAGTCCACAAGTCAAATGCAGAAGACTCTTCATAACGGTGATACTACGGATAAATATACACCTAATAGAAGAAGAAATTATTAGTCAAAGAAATCTGTGCTAGGTGGATGAGTAAACAAACGACTCACCATATTCGATCAAAGAATATAACATATCCATTTCACCGTTAATTAGAATCAAATGAACTAGTCGTAAATATTGTGGATTATTTACATTCGGATTTCCGCCATGTTTCAACAATAAATGGAATATATGTGCTCATCTAACAAAATAAAACACGAGAAAAAAGTATTATATATACTGCAAGAAACAACAAATTATATTAGTTGCTCTTCTGTGCTCAAATTGCTTTTCTTAGCAAAGTATATTTCTTTGCTCTGACAAATGTTATTCAGAAGTTCACCTATAGCTAACAATCAAAAAGCAACTTACTTCAAATAATTCGCCATTGTCCTTTCGTTTTCTGCCCATAACGTAAGCTTCAAGTAACGGAATAATTGTAAACGATCGAACAGCATGATTAATGTCAGCACTCAATTCAATAAGTTTTTCTACGAATATTTGATCACTGCGTCGAATGGCATAAAGTTATAAAACGTGCCCAGCACTTTTAATACCGGCAATACTATTAATTGTTCGGGTTTGATGATCGTACAGATATTTAATTATTAGTTCATCTTTAAATTCTGCTTATTCAATTTGTGTTCGATTTCCAGGCCAAATGAACAACTCTTTGATCTTGGATAATCTTAATTTTCGTATATCATGTTTGATACCTGTCATATCTTTTGCGAATACACCTGATTCCACTGGTTGTCGTAATAAAAGACTTTGTTGTTCACGTAAACAATTGTTTTGACTTATATAATAATCCAAGAATTTTTCATTTGAACAAGCAGCCATTTTTGGTTCATTTTCTTCGATTTGTGCTTGTATTTGATCATACATTGATCGCGAAGCCGAGGTTATTATTCTGAGTTCATTTGTTTGATCGATGACTTCTGATAATTGTTTATTACGTTCTCCCGTTGGTTTTGATGTCGATGTTAATACCGCTGTTGATAATGATGAAGACATTATTCGAGATTTCTGTGATGGTTT